GTGTGTGTGTGTGTGTGTGTGTGTGTGTGTGTGTGTGTGTGTGTGTGTGTGTGTGTGTGCGTGTGCGTGTGTGCGTGCGTGTGTGTGTGTGCGTGTGTGCGTGTGTGTGTGTGTGCGTGTGCGTGTGCGTGTGTGCATGCGTGAGTGCGCGTGCACGCTTGTACACGTCGTGCGCGCGCTTGTACATGTGGAAGCATGCATACGCCCACCCGTGTGCGTGTGTCCGCGTGCATTGTGGTATCTCTCCGCCCCCCAATACACATTGCACGCACGCTTGCACACCATTTTCTCACCAATCACCATTCGTGGCTGCCGCGGTTTTGGAATTTTGCAGGAGGCAAAGGAGATAATGGCATCGCTGAAGGCCGTGCCGTTGATGGCGTTTCTGACGGCGGTGATGTTCCTGGGCGAGGTCCGCGGCTACTCCAAGCTGTACGACAACATGGACGAGTACGGCGGCGTGCAGTTTCTTGCCTTTTCCTTTGTCACCTTCCTTCTCTTCACGGACATGTGCATCTACTGGATCCACCGCTGGCTGCACCACCCGCTCATCTACCCGCTGCACAAGCCGCACCACCTGTGGAAGCTGCCCACCCCGTTTGCCAGCCACGCCTTCCACCCGCTCGACGGTTTTGCGCAGAGCCTGCCCTACCACATCTACCCGTACCTCTTCCCGCTGCACAAGGGCATGTACCTGCTGCTCTTTGTCTTTGTGAACCTGTGGTCTGTCGGCATCCATGACAACGACTACCGCCTGCCCGGCTTCCTGCAGCCCATCATCAACGGTGCAGCGCACCACACGGACCACCACCTCAAGTTCAACTACAACTACGGCCAGTACTTTACGCTGTGGGATCGCCTTGGCGGGTCGTACCTGCACCCCTCTGGCTACTCTGGCACGGGCCCCCACGAGCAGGTGAAGCAGCACCTTGCCCGCCAGAACGGCGGCGCCAAGAGCAACGGCAACGGCGTGGCTTCCAAGAAATCAGACTAACTCCCATGCACACTTGCTCAAGGTTGTTGTGCTTTGCCTGCGTTGTGTGTGTGTGTGTGTGTGTGTGAACGTTATATGTGTGCGGTTGTTGTGTCTGTGTCATGATTGTTTGTGACATGTGTGTGTTTTGTGTTGTGTACTCCTATGCTCTGCACGATGTTCGAGCGAAGTAGACTCGCACACGCTTTGTGTTCTGATGTGTTGTCGACGATATGCCCTTCTGGCTGACACACTTCTTCTCTCTGCCTCTATTTCCTTTCCTTCCTTCCACGACTTCTTCGTCTTCTTTCCTGCACGTGACTTGTTGGGCTGTGTCTCCACCGTAAACACAAGAAGTGAAGCAAACACCAGTCACATGACATCAGGTGATGTGATCTGACATCCAATTGCCGTACCTCAACAGGGGCGCGGGCACACGAATACATACACAACACAGACGAGAGGGCGTGCATCGGGCGAGTGCATTGCAATGGAGCAGGGGAGCAGGCACGCGCGAGACGCGTGTATAAACAGGGACGAACGGTGGGGTGCATGCACACTCCGCACATCACAATTGCAACGACAACGATCTCACATCCGCAACAACAGGCGTGACAAACAGGGCATTCAAAATCATGTAACTGTGGGAAGTAACCTAGGGCAAGCACAACACTGATGAAAAGCAGCAACCCGTGCAAAGAGGTAAGCGCACAGTGGCAACAATAATGTTCAAAGGTGTGATGTGACAACAAGGGTGTCGACAACAAGGGTGTCGCCCACTTGCTGGTGCTAGCGTGTGAGTCGCAGCTCAGCCTGCAGTGCGAAGATCTCCGTCTGCAGATTCGCGGTGTACTGACGCATGTACTTGAGCATGTCCGACTGTCGCTCAAGCAGGTCGTCCACATCCACATCGCCGTCCATCTCGCCAGCGTCCATGCTGATGGTGCTGTTGCCGTTGAGTTGAAACTCCACGTGCGCGTCTGGTGGCGCCCGGCTCCGATTGAACCGAATCACTTTCACTGCCGAATGGTGGTGATGGTGGTGGTGGTGGTAGCAATGCAGCAAGTGTGAGGGGCGATGGACGGAAAGGAAGGGTGGGTTGCAAGCGTGGACGAGCAAAGTATGCATCGACAGGAGGCGGCGTCGAACAAGCAAACAGGCGAATTGTGTGTTGGGGGGGGGGGTGCACGGGCACGGAGACGGAAACGGACACGAAATTCACAGGAATGCACACCCACAAGCGCTGACTTCAACAAACACAGACACACAGCCACGCACACAGACACACACAGACACACAGCCACACACACAGACACACGTGTGTAGACACGTGCTGACTTCAACAAACACAGACACACAGCCACGCACACAGCCACGCACACACACAGACACACAGACACACAGACACAAACACACACACACGCACGCACGCACGCAAGCACACACGCACACGCACACACACACACACACACACACACACACACACACACACACACACACACACACACACACACGCACAGCGCTACGCACAGACAAATTTCACCGACCGAGGTAGATGATGTATGATGGAAGGGAGATTGCCATTTCAACGGAGACGATAATCTGGATGAGGTTTTGGCGGTCCATGGTGGCCTCATCGTTTGTGGACCAGAAGGAGGTGAAAACCAGCAGGATGGCGTTGACAAGAGACATGCCAATGACGGGTACACGGCGCAGCAGCTGCGTATCTCTGTAGAAGCGCAGGTACCCCATCAGCCGCGAGTTGTGGTGGCAGTGCTCCCCATACCGGTAGATGCCAACCAGTACCAGCCATACAGCAACTGTACGTTGGGTAAAAAGGGCAAGGATGCCACGCCCAGTCAAAACGGCAAATGACAACACTCATGAGCGTCAACTACAAAGACAACGTAATCAACACAAGCACGCATTCTCACACGCACTTGCAGAATGCGTTCTAAACAACAACAACAACAACAACAACAACAACAACAACAACAACAACAACAACAACAACAACAACAACAACAACGACAACGACAACGACACGACACGACAACGACAACGACAACGACAACAACAACAACAACAA